AAAATCTAAAATGCGGTGACAGGGTTGCAGTGAAGCTCTAATACAATGATGTATGTGACACTGCTTTGAAAAGTATCAAGTAGGCCAGGGACGGTGGCTCACGCCTGTAATCCCAGCACTTTGGGAGGCAGAGGTGGGTGGATCATGTGGTCAGGAGATCGAGACTATCCTGGCCAACATGGTGAAACCTCGTCTCTACTATAAACACAAAAATTAGCTGCGTGCGGTGGTGCATGCCTGTAATCCCAGCTACTCGGGAGGCTGAGGCAGGAGAATGGCTTGAACCAGGGAGTCAGAGGTTGCAGAGTGCAGAGAGCCAAGATCGCACCACTGCACTCCAGGCCTGGTAACAGAGCAAGACTCTGCCTCCAAAAAAAAAAAAAAAAAAAAAGTATCAAGTACCGTGAAAATAAAAGCAAAAGTATTTCTGTTGAGTTCCAAAACTTTAAAAGAGTTGTTTAACTCAATTTTACTCAAACTGAGTCATCCATCATTTTTTAAAGGAATATTAACGACCCAGCTGAAGACTGGAATAAAAAGCACACTGTGTCTTAAGAGCCAAATTTCACAGCTTTATGCTGTACTGACTCGATAAGCAACGCGCTCAGCGCAGCACCGCACGTCAGACCCACAGCCAGCAAGCCTGAGACCGGTGCTTTCCACTCACCGTGTTTCTCAGCACATCGTCGTCCACGTCAAAGTTGGATGTGTCAGAGGGACTGCTCACGTCGGGAATGTAAGGTGCTTCTAGGTTTCGTATATTTTCCCAATTTAGACCTTCAAAAAACGCATGCTTTTTGAAATCCTCTATTCCATTCTGCCCCAGCCGGCGCTCTCTACTGCAGATCAGTCTCTGGATGAGGTCCTTCGCTTCTTCAGAAACATCCGTGACATGGGACGGGAACTGGAATCGCTCCTGCAAGGGGTGGCAAAAACACTGGTGGACAGGTGGACGCATTCAGAGAGTTTAAGGTGTACGGACATTATAGGAAACAAAGTAGAAATGGCAGCTCCAAAGCAGGTCGCTTTTTATTTCATGGGAACGAAATGCAATCCAAAGCTAATACATTTCCATTCCCAAAAGGCAAACAAGAAAACCAGTGATCCTTCTGGTTTTACTCGTTGTAGACTTGGGACCACATTGCAAGTAAATGACACATTTTTACCTATGGAGGTGGCAAGGAATGTGGGAAACATGCCGTGCGCGGCAAGAGGGACAGGCGCAGCCCCGTCAGAACGCACAGTGTAAGCGTCACGGCAGCTCTGCTTCTGGACACTCATGTTACGAAAGCAGTGGCTAAGAGGAAACACAACATGCACTGTATTCCGACCAAGAAAACTGCAAATTACCTCCACGCCCATCAAAAAGGGGACTCGTTAAAAAAGATACCGGTTGGGCACAGTGACTCACGCCTGTAATCCCAGCACTTTGGAAGGCCGAGGTGGGCAGATCACCTGAGGTCAGGAGTTCCAGACCATCCTGACCAACAAGGTGAAACCCCATTTCTACTAAAAATACAAAAATTACCAGGCATAGTGGCGGCCTGTAATCCCAGCTACTTGGGAGGCTGAGGCAGGAGAATCGCTTAAACTCGGGAGGTGCAAGTTGCAGTGAGCCAAGACCACGCCACTGCACTCCAGCCTGGGTGACAAGGGCAAGATTCCATCTCAAAACAAAAAAGATGGGGCACAAAAAAAGAGGAACATGTCCGTGTGCTGATATAGAAAGACACCAAAGATACAATGACAAAAAACTGTTTATATGTAACATGATGCCACATATCTAAACACACACATGCACACGCGCACACACACGTGCTTAGGTCTGCTGAGGCCACACACCCTCATGGTAGAGTGGGCTAAGAGCTGAGCCACCACCTTTGTCATCTGCAGAAAGGAACAACAATGTCACCTGCTTCACGAGGTGCCTGACCCAAGCGCCCACAGGTGGTCAGCGCTCAGGGACTGCTGGCAGGCTCTTAGTAATAATTAAGTCCCAATTGTTACTTTAACAGAATTTGTCACCAAGAAGTGGATGAGGAGATTTTCATTACCTATAATACGCATTTTTGCATTGTCTGAAGTTTTTATAGGGCGTATATATTAATTTATAAATAAAAAATATGCTTCTACTTTGGGAAAAACATTTTTTAAAACTGTTTAACTTTTGCTTTGATTTGGAGTTAAATGGAAAACCAGTTACCACTTTAGTGTTAATCTGCTCACTATGAGAGCAAACTGTGGGAGACACTGGCTGGAGGACAGGCCGTCACTCAATCAGGATCATCCTGGGATCTGCGTGTGCATAGGAGGGAAACGCTATGAGCATGCTGGTAGAGAGGGTGAAATCGGCATTAGAAAGACACATGACTCTCCGGGCGAGACGGCTCACGCCTGTAATCTCTGCATTTTGGGAGGCTGAGGCCGGTGGACTGCCTGAGGTCAGGAGTTCGAGACCAGCCTTGCTAACATGGTGAAACCCTGTCTCTACTAAAAATACAAAAAAATTAGCCAGGTGTGGTGGCAGGCATCTATAATCCCAGCTACTCAGGAAACTGAGGCAGGAGAATTGCTTGAACCTGGGAGGTATAGCCGAGACTGCAGCATTGCACTCCAGCCTGGGCGACAAGAGCAAAACTCTGATTAAAAAGAAAAGAAAAGAAAAGATAAAAAGGCAGGAGAATGGCTTGAACCCAGGAGGCGGAGGTTGCGGTGGGCCGAGATTGCGCCATTGCACTCCAGCCTGGGTGACAGAGTGAGACTCCGTCTCGAAAAAGACAGACAAATGACTAAGGAAAATTTTTTAAAAGAAATAAAAAATATCAGACAGAAGAGAAAATGATAAAAAGGAAAACAAAGGAGGTGGAGAGAGGTGACATGGAAGTAAGCAAGTGAACAGTTTGGAAAGGGAAGGAGGAGACGAGGCAACAGGATGGGGAGGATGAAGGGCCCCATCATCTGGAGACATGTGATCATTTACAGGGACTGATTTCTGGGGAACAGACCTGAGAATCAAAGTTGACATCTAACCAGTGAGTCTAGAGCCACATGACAAGGGCCCACCTGGACCCCCCACTGGCTAACCCCGGGCGCCTCACTCCACACGCCTATGCAGACGACGCATCTGTCTACAGAAACCTGCCTCCCCTCCAGGAAGCCAGCTCGGAATAGGCCAGCATCCTTCCCCTGAGAGTTGGGGGTGGGCGTCACCCTCAGAACCTCCTTCCCCTTCCTCTGGCGTCCACATCTCCTGGTGTCGACCCCACCTCCGGATGCCTTCTCCAATGTCTACTCCAGTCCGCCTGTCCTCAGTTTGGTCTAAACCCTGACATCTCTTCCTGAACTGCTCGCGTCGCTGCCTAATGGATCTTCCTGCACTAGTTGTGCTCTCTGTACTTTAGGCCTGAGCCAGGTACCAAAATAAAAATGCAACGTCTTACTTCATGGTTCATGATCTTCCCGTAGGTCTCCACGAGTGACTCCGCATAAAACGGCGTTTCTCCATAGAGCATCTCATACATGCAGACCCCCAGAGACCACCAGTCACACTCAGGCCCGTATTTGCCCATGCCGTCCTCCATCGCCTGCAGGATCTCCGGCGAGATGTAGTCAGGTGTGCCCACGGCCACGGAGGACTGCACCTTAGGGGAGAAGGAGGTGCTGAAGGAAACCCTAGGGCATCTCCAATCACATATTTCCAACTACTTTCTCTACAATACAGCGGAGGCAGAAAATGAAATAATTATAGAATAAAACTGATGAATGATTGTGTTTTTTAAACCCAGTAATTCAAGCTGAGTATAGTGGCTCCAGCCTGTAGCCTCAGCTACTTAGGAGGTTGAGGTAGGAGAACAGCTTGAGCCCAGGAGCTCAAGGCCAACACGGGCAACAACCTTGTCTCTAACGAAACAAAACAGAATTTAAAAACCTCAATAATGTAAAATTCAATGCAAATAAATATTCTCTTAAAGCACTAAACATTATGCAGCTCCCAGAACACATGAAACTCTTGTACACATGGTCTGTCTGTCAATACCCAAATACCAGCCACAGCCCCAAACAGTGCCTCTCCAATCCCCCAGGGTTGGCATTTCCCACTCTCTGTGGCTGCTCCCCGTGTGATGCGGGGGCCACGCGTGCACGGCCGGCCTTTCTGATCTTCACGTGCAGTGCGCAGGGACTCTTGTACAGGGTCTCTTGTTAGAATAGAGACCCCGGTGGGGCCCAAGAGGCTGCATTTCTAACAAGCTTCTAGGGGTGCTAAGGCTGCTCACCTGCAGCCCACCCTGTGGTCGTCCTCATGGGAACATGCAGAAGTTGGTCCAGGCATTAGCTGGGTGCTCAGGCATTCCCTGGACAGGGAACCAGCAGGCTAAGACCGCTCCTACCCCCGCCAAAGGGAGAAAACAGCTCCCCTACTATCCACATTAGCAGGCCCGTGCCAGAGCACAGTGACACCTCTGCAGAAAGCTGCGAGGGCATGGGTCACCTAGAACAAGCAGGAGGAGCCTGGCGAAGCTGAGAAATCATCTACCCAGAAAGTACGACGGAGAGCACAGGGCCATCCCCAGGGGCTGAGTCTGAGGCTCAGGCAGGAACTGGAGACAACCACCACAGGCCTGTCTGGGGAAGGCCAGGCTCTCCTGAGGGTCCCCTCTGGGAAGAGAGAAACAGGGTCCAAGCAGCACTCCGGAGCCAGTGGTGTGAGAACTGCTCAGGCTGAATGATCAGCAGAGAACTCCGCCTCCATCACTTCCCTACACGAGTGCGTGGCCAGACCACAGGAGCTCCTCCAGACAGCGGGACCACTGGGGTGCTGGGCAGTGACTCCATGACGAACGACTACTGTGACGGGGTGGTGTGGAGGTGAGGAGGGCAACCCGTGCTCTGGTTATACCGTGACGGGGTGGGAGGGCAACCCATGCTCTGGTTATACCGTGACGGGGTGGTGTGGAGGTGAGGAGGGTAACCCGTGCTCTGGTTATACCATGACGGGGTGGTGTGGAGGTGAGGAGGGTAACCCGTGCTCTGGTTATACCGTGACGGGGTGGTGTGGAGGTGAGGAGGGTAACCCGTGCTCTGGTTATACCGTGACGGGGTGGTGTGGAGGTGAGGAGGGTAACTCGTGCTCTGGTTATACAGTGATGGGGTGGTGTGGAGGTGAGGAGGGTAACCCATGTTCTGGTTCAGACCTGTTCTAGTCACTGCAAGACTGGAGTGGAGGACAGCACCCGCCTACCAATTAATCAATATGTGGTCAAGACTTTTAAAAATAAGAGACTGGCTTTGTGGAATGAAAACGAGCAAATTGCATTACTCCTTATAAAACGCTGTCAACTGAAGCCAGTTACATGGGTTCTTCTACTACTGCTTGAAAATCCACTGGTAGGAAAGAAAGGGATTGCTCTCTTTCGGAAAAGTATTTTATGTTAGACCTTATGGTAAGTGCAGGTTTTAAAGAAGAAAAGACTCCAAACATGTAAGAACAAAACTGCAACAGTGGCCACAGACGCAGTGAAAGCAGTTTGCTGGAAGCAGCTGCCAATAGGGTGTGAGCAGACCCGGGACTGCCCCCATCAGGCTACTCAGCCATGTTGCTGGTCTGACTGTGTGGTGGAGACCACAGGGGCCTGTGGCCCGAGCCTGAGTCTCCTGGTGACAGCCGGTCCGGGGCAGCCTCTTGTTCTCCCCTGCTGGCGGGAGTGTCAGCCGGCCCCGTAACACTGAGCACCAGGACTCTGTTTCTAGGTCTACAACACCCACAGAGAGGAAACCCCTAGCAGGAAGTTACCTGCCCAAACACAAGTGAGAAAATACAGTTACATGGTTAATGCCTGCCCACCCGACCAGCCTGGACAGGGCACTTTAAGGAAGAAGCAGAGAGTGCCCTCGATCTGCTATAGGACTGGCATGCTTTTAGCCACCTTGGGATTGAGGCAACCTGACAACTCCCATTCTGGAAGGCACACATATTATTTTCGTAAACATAAAAAGCAGTAAAGATGCTTTCCAACTTAATTTTTATTTGGGAAACGAAACTCCCCAAATAGAAAATTTCAACTATCTCCAAAATTGATTCGTTTTCTTAATTAATGTACTTGGTTTCTTCATTGTACCTCAAATTGAAAACTTCCCTTCTAACTACAAGCCAAACCCAAAACCAAATGGAAAATCTCCAACAAAAATACCTACAGTTCCATCATCATTCATCTTCAAACATGATCCAAAGTCAGCCAGGCGGATATGACCATTCACGTCCAAAAGGACATTGTCAGGTTTAATGTCTCTGTTAGTAAAATAAATACACAAATTAACCATCTCCATGCAACACATTAGGTAGGTCAAAGCCCTTAACTCGTGGTGATCAGATGAAGAAATGCTAATAACCTCTTGTGAACAGCTGTCACCATCCAGTACAAATGCCTCTGTGTGACATTTATCTGGCACAATGGCGGCCGAAGTCATATCATTGCCCCTCGTTTAGTCCCCAATTACCTTGGCGAGGCCTTGTGACGATTCCTACTCGTCTTCCCACCCAGCTAATGAACCCCTCCTGAGCATCTCCTTGGTCCCAGGCACTGCTCTCCAGCCCACCCACCTATGCATGTGACAACGCTGCCCCTGCCTTCATGAAGCCTGCACACGAACTGAGGTGTGGCAAACACAAATAGGCACTGCTGTCTCAGGCAGGCTCACACGGTGCAAGCTCTGTGCTGAGTACCATGGAAAACAGTAACGGGACAAAGGGACGGAGGGACACACGTGGAGGGAGCTGGCTGGTGGCTGCCACACAGAGAGACGGCAGTGGCCAGACGAGGTCCAGGAGGCAGGTGGTGATCTGGGGGAAGACTGCTGCAAACCGCCCCATACCCCTAAAACTGCACTTTATAGATGAAGACATGGAAGCTGAGCCAACTGCCCACAGTTACAGAGCAGTGCGTGCTGGAGCAGGAACATAAACACAGGTCTGTCCCACTAACGCCTGTTTCTGAACTACTTTCTGTGTGCTCCCAAACACATGTGTGGGTGCGGGGCACCTTGGAGCATGAACGCTTTTTTCTGGCAGAATAAGCTTACGTGACTGAACAGTATGAATGCTAACAAACTTTAAAAACAAAGAAAGACGTTCAGCAAAAGACAAGCACAAGTATGTTCCCAGCGGCACTACTTGTAGCAGCCAAAAGGCAGAAACAATCTAAATCTCTGCCTCCAAGAGAATGGGTAAGTAAGCTAGGCTATACTTGCGTGATGGACACCACACCCCAATAAGAACAGATGGGTACCAACTACCCCAGCCACATGAATCAATCTCACACAAACATGGGCAGATGACAATTCTTACCTCAAAACCAGAAACAAAAACACAAAGCAAAAAGAAATCCTAGCATATAACACTCCAAACTGAAATAAAATACCCTCAAATAAACATTCAGGAATACGAAAAAGAAAACAAAACAAAATCCCACAATCCCACAATCTCACACACACACACACACACACACACACACACACACGGCTAGGTGCAGTAGCTCACAAACTATAATCCCAGCACTTTGGGAGGCTGAGGCAAGAGAACTGCTTGAACCTTGGGAGGTGGAGGCTGTAGTGATTGTGATTGCACCACTGCACTCTAGCCTGGGCGACAGAGCAAGACCCTGTCTCAAAACACAAACACACACACACACACGCAAAAACACGCACATGCACTCACTAGACAAAAGCGTGCAGAAAAGAAGAGCTGATTTAACTTAGGGAAGAAATAGAAGAAACATAAAATCTTATCAGAAATGAAGATCAAATTATAAGAGGTCCAAACAAGAATAAATTGAAACAAAAATCTAATGGAAAATTGAAGAAAGGGAAGAAAAGATCTAGAAGAATAAAATGAGGTAAAGAAAGAAGGAAAAGCAGTCAGATAGGAAGCAGCTAGAGGCTGATGTGGGAGACAGGCAAAGGCGGCCCAACAGGTGCATAACTGGAGTCCCTGAAAGAAATCAAAACAAAACATGACTAACATCTAACTACAATCCAAGAGAACTTTCCAAAAATTAAAAGAAAAAAAAAAAACCTGAATCTAGAATGAGAGGGCCCATTAAAGATTTTAAAAAAAAAAAGAAAATATCAACGTCCTCTTTTTTGAAGCCAGCCAAGTTGATATTGATGTTCATATGGTAAGAAAAGCCAGAAAAACCCTGAAGAGTGAGCTGTGATGGGGGGATCAGGCCCAGATGATTTCAAAACACACTACACAGCCTCCCTAGTTAAAGCAGTGTGGTGCTAGTGTGTGCAGAGGCAGAGAGAAAATGGAATAGAGTAGAATGTCTAGAAACAAACCAACTACATAAAGAAATCAAGTACAGGACAAAGATAATACAAATAACTGGGGCAAAGATAGACTTAATAAGTTGGTGGTGTGACAACTGGAGAGCCATTTAAAGTTAAAATCAGGGCCGGGCACAGTGGCTCCTGCCATCCCATCACTTTGGGAGGCCGAGGCGGGTGGATCACAAGGTCAGGAGATCGAGACCATCCTGGCTAACACAGTGAAACCCCGTCTCTACTAAAAATACAAAAAAATTAGCCGGGCATGGTGGCGGGAACCTGTTGTCCCAGCTACTCAGGAGGCTGAGGCAGGAGAATGGCGTGAACCCGGGAGGCGGAGCTTGCAGTGAGCTGAGATCGCGCCACTGCACTCCAGCCTGGGCGACAGAGCGAGACTCCGTCTCAAAAAAAAAAAAAAAAAAAAAAAAAAAAAAAAAAAAAACACCCATAAAATTAGAACGCTTCTTTGTGCCATATATAAGAACAAACCTGAAACAGACCCAAGATCCACACGGAACAGACTAAACTATAAGAATGAAAAACTAAAAATACTGAAAAACAAAACAAAACAACCCCTCCCCCGCCAAAAAAAACCCAACACATGGGTTTTCTTTTTCCGGGGGTAAGAAAAGGATTTCTCATTCAATTACATACAAAAATTTTTAAAAATCTGTGTGGCAAAAAACCACAATGAACCACATCAAAAAACAAATGGCAAACTGGGGAAAAATATTTGTAATATATATCACAAATGAAAAGCAAATACTTCTTTAAGAATTGGGGGAAAAAAGCCCAGAAATCCATAAGAAAAGGGTAAAACCCATGAAACAACTCACATAGGCCTGCACACAAAAATACAAACATGATGGTCAACATCACGGGAAAGGTGAAAAAGAAAACTACAATTGTATACCATCTCTCACCCATCAGAGGGCAAAAATACAAAAGTCTGAAAATACACGGTTGGCAAAGCTGCAAGGAAAACATAAAAAAGAATGAAGAAGCAGGCTGGGTGTGGTGGCTCACGCCTGTAATCCCAGCACTTTGGAAGGCCAAGGCAGGCAGATCGCCTGAAGTCGGGAATTCGAGACCAGCCTGACCAACATGGAGAAACCCCATCTCTACTATAAATACAAAATTAGCTGGGCGTGGCGGCAGGCGCCTGTAATCCCAGTTACTCAGGAGGCTGAGGCAGGAGACTCACTTGAACCCAGGAGGCAGAGGTTGCAGTGAGCCGAGATCGCACCCCACTACACTCCAGCCTAGGCAACAAGAGCGAAACTCCATTTCAAAAAAAAAAAAAAAGAATGAAGAGCTCCATGAATTGATATAGAATGATTTACAGGATACATCACTGAAGTTTTTAAAGATGCAAAGCACACATTTAGCATACCATCTTTTGCTTAACAAAGGAGAAACAAGAAAACGTCTGCACGGATGACAGCAGAAGACAGCAGACTGGCTACCGATCCTGGGTTGCCGGAGGAGGTGGGCAGGATAAGGAAGGGGCGACCGCTTCTCTGAGTACAACTTCATGCAGTTTTGGTGTTTTGGAAGCTAACATCCTACACAGTCAAAGAATAAAACTGAATCGACAAAGGCGGAAGGAAAGTCTAAAATGGAAAACTGATTCAAACCAATGCATCCAACTGTATTTCAAATAAATAACAACAGTGAAGGGGCAGCTGGGGTTAAAACAAAACAAAACAAATCTAAGTGACTTAGAAACAAAGAATTACTGCAGGCGAGGGGTGCGGTCCCAGTGAGATGGGGGAGAACTGCACACAGACCCAGAACTCTTTCTGGCAGGTTTGTTTCTGTGATGGCATGGGCAGAGCAATTCTAAAGCTATTTTAGACACATCACAGGACTGAGCAAGTGAGTCCCTGTACCAACATTGCTGGGTGTCACAGTTTCAGTAGGAGGAAGACAACAATCTGGAAAGGGAGGAAGCCAAGAAGTTAACTCGTGATTCCCGAGTATGCACAGGTAGACGCATGTGTCCATGAACGTGCATATACCTCTGTTACTACCTCTGTGCACTGAGGGGCCTAGAAGCAGACAACCCCATAGTAATGCGCACGCGCAGCACCCAGAACTTGGTCTTCAAAGCCGCTCCCCGCTAAAAGGCCTTGAGCTCTTCTGAGAAACAATGGAGTAGGGATAGAAGGTACAGGATGACAGAAACTAAGGACATCCCCAAAAAGTGAAGAGGCACAGCTCAAACACAGGAGTCAGCTAGAATGCCAAATATGGGCCAATTTCAGCACAAAAATAACTAAGATAGTGAATTATAAACCACCGCGAGAAAAGAGGATCCATGTATCCATACTGATCATAAATAGACCAACAAGCAGGGAGAAGGGAGGTGCTTCCTTAGAGCAGAAAGCCAGATGATGACTGGCCAGTGTGCTGGGTCTGGCGTTTGTAAGTCAGTTTGCAACCATGCAAAGACTGGTCCAGGCAAAAATCGTTAGTGGATACTACATCTTGGGAGGAAATTTTGAAGAAGAAGAGGATATTTGCATGGTCTTAAAAGTATCTCTCCACAGGGAAAAAACTATATAGCAGAAAAATCGAACAAAATCTTAACTGGGTGATGGATTTGATCACCACTGAGGGGCTGATGGATATTGTACACCTCTGGATATGACACCCTGAGAAGGACACAATATATTTACACACACACATTCCAAGAGGAAGGAACACATCATCTCAATCTATCAGGAGAAAACATTAGACCAAGTGAAACTGAGAAGTCTTCTATTGAAAAGGCAAGGGACACTGTATTCTCCAAACACATCAGTGTTCTTCCAACATGCCACTGTCATAACAAAGAAAGGATGAGGAACTATTCAAGATTAAAAGAGATTAAAGAAGACATGACAATGAAATGCCACATGTGATCCTGGACTGGATTCTGTACTGGGGGAAGGAAATACTCTAAGAGATGCCCCTGGGTCA